TTAAGCAGAACTTTCTTTCGCCGGAGCAGCAGCAGCTGTTGCTTCTGCTGCTGCATCTGCTGCTGATTCAGGGCGCTCAATCCCGTGTGTGCTGTGCTGCTGCTCCTGCTTCTGCTGCTGCTGTTGCTGCTACTGTTGCTGCTGCTGCTGGTGTTTGCTACAGCTCGCGTCAGTGGCTCGGGTGTCTAGGACGCGGGAATCTGTGTCTGTTGTTAAAGTGAAAACAAAAAAAGCAGAAGGAGCGAAAAACCAAACAGAAAACATGCAGGCTATCTTCCCCTCAGATATAGAACGAGAACCCTCAACACCCAACCGGGTAAGAAACCCTAAACCCTAAACCCTAAACCCTTAATTAGAAAAAGGCTATTGTTTCAGGCAGCTGGGGCTGCAGCAAACTCATGTTCGAGGGTTTAAGCGTATACAGAGGGTTTAGGGTTTAGTGTTTATGGTTTTGTTGCTGGGGTTTAGGAAGGAGGCATCAACAAGCCTGCTGGAGGTGCCTTCTGCTCGCCTGCAATCTGCATGCCGCAGCAGCAGCAGCAGAGCAGCAGCAGCAGCAGAATGGGATACGGAAAGCCGGAGACAAACACCTACGAACTCATCAAGGCTCCAGGCATCGTCAGACCTCTCTACGGTACTTTCAAACCCTAAACCCTAAACCCTAAACCCTAAACCCTGAACCCTCACGTTTGTAAGAATAAACAAGCAGCTGTTGCACAAACCCTTGCAGGGAAGCAATGCTGTAACTCTGCTTCAAATACCAGCAAGGTTCATAGTATCTCCACTAGGGTTTAGGGTTTAGGGTTTAGGGTTTAGGGTTTAGGGTTTGCATTGTGACGGGTTCTCTTGCAGATATCATCACTCCCGCTCCCCAACAGACGTCTCGCCCGCCGCTGCCGCCTCGTCCGCAGCAGCCTCAGCAGCAGTTTCCTCTGCCGCCGCAGTTACTGCAGCAGCAGCAGGCACTACGCCTACAGCAGCAGCAGCAGCAGCAGCAGCAACAGTATTATACGGGGCAGTTGGCTGCTCTTGGGGGCCCCCGCGTAGCAGCAGCAGCAGCAGCATTGGAGGTGACGAGAGAAAGTTGGTTCGAAGATCTGCAGCAACAAATGAAGAGAGAAGAACTGCAGCAATACGCAGACACTGCACCTCCAGGTAATCATACTGCAGCAGCTAACCCAGCAGTGGCAGCAGCAACTGCTGCTGCTGCACAAGCTGCTGCTGCAGCAACAGCTGCAGCTACACGTATCTTCTTCGGTCTCTCTGCTTCGCTCCATATCCTATTTGCGTGTAATCTGCTTCTGTCTCTACAGTTAAGTGTATGAATTACATGTATGGATATTATTTGTTTTTTTGTTTATCTTATTTATTTTATTTATTTATTTTTTTTCTTTCTTTTACTATTTTCAGCTTTCTCCTCCTTCGCCTCT